TCACCAATAGTAATGTTTCCCCTCCGCAAGAGCGCTCTGTCCGTCCCATGTCCTCACTTTGACGTTTCATGATCCGTGCCCATCTACAGAAGTAATGTAACACAAAAATCCAAGCAGCACAAATTTTCAATAGGAATTTTATTTTCCCTTCATAACATGCAGACATATTTAAATTGAATGCCTACACAAGCATGCAACACTTAAGAACATGTTCCAGCATATAACATTTTTGATGAACAATCAATGCAGCGCAGCAAGACACTAATGAAAAGAATAAGTTTTAAATTCCTTAAATTTAGATAAACAGATCAGGGGCATCACACATTCAGTGACAGAAACCAGAAATTCCAATTCTGTGATACATTTCTCCAGGTTATGTCATTACATACAACTACTCGGTAAACACTGTAATCCAAAGCGCAGGTTGATATTTCTTTAAAACGTTGCTATTAGTGAAGCCGCATAACCGGCTAATCGTCAGGCAGATAATACAGTCAACTGAGAAACAGATGCAAGCTGCACCTTTAAAAGTCTGAGCAGGATCAGTGCAGACTTCTGACCTCTGCTCCCAGGTCCCCCCCCCCCCGTCATGGTCACATGGATCGCATGTGCAGACACCATCTTTCCAAAGCTCTGACTGCACGCGGTTTGCTTGCTGCACCACAAAATGGAGACGGACGGACGGAGAGGGGGAGAGAGAGAGAGAGAGAGAGAATGCACTTGGCCCCCTGGGGGTGGGCAAAACGTGTGCTCTCAGTTTCCTATTAGCAACAGGATTCACTAGTTCCACCGCTCCCAACACAGACACCGAAATGTCTCAGCCCCCCCCCCCCCCCCCGCCTTAGATGCAAGCCAAAAATATCTCCCACCCCCACCTACCACCCATCAGCTAAGGACAAGGGGATGCTGGCCCATCTCCCACCTGGCACATATGGAGATGCCTGTGGAGTGCTGGAGGGGGGATATTGCTGGGGGGGGGGGTACGGAAGGCAGCCATTTTCTCTTCTATGATTGTGGCAAGGAGCCCCCCCACCCAAGCTCTAACTGTTGAACTGATATTGTCAACTGCCTGTTTAAACAAAAAGATTGAGAGATAAAGCCATCACTTTACATGATAAGAAAGTGGCTGTGCGTGTGTGTGTGTGTGTGTGCGTGTGTGTGTGTGCGCGCGCGTGTGTGTGCGCGTGTGTGTGTGTGTCCTAACCGTTTTTCGTAGAAGCCTCTTCCTGATTAGCATTTATGTGATGCAAATAAAAACCACCCAGCAAACGCATCTATAAAACTGCATCCACAGCTCAAAACATCCGAAATATTATCAGCACGAGAACCAAGTATTGAAGGGCACTTTCTTCACTGTCAGCCCAGACCTTTGATGGACACGACCAGAAACGTGGAGCCTGAAGAATCACCCACCCCACCCCCCCCCAAAAAAAACTATACTGCAGTTTTTAAAATTTAAATCAATATGATAGATGCAAGGCTTACTGCCTTTTGACAAGTAAACATAATCTTCCAGGAAGCAGGGGGGCAAGCAGCACAGGATCTGGACTTGTGACCAAAGTTACTCGTCGACACCCCACGGGAGACCCTTCCATTGTACCCTCACTAAAGGACCTAAACTAGGTATAGCCAACGGTGTAACTTCACCCTAAGCTGTTTGCTCGTTAAAAAGAGAAAGACAAAATTGCATCAGCACCCACGAGAGGATCCTCGCAGCACTAGATCCACAGGGCAGACATACACCGATTCGTACCTTTTCATATGGGCCATTAAAAGCCACGTGCAGAAAACACCTGGTCACCATGATGTCACCATGTCGTCAGGTCCTCTTGCTGAAAGCACAGAGGTGAGAGATCTGTCTAATGGGACGGGACTGGCGAATGTTTTCACTAGGAAGACGGCTTAGTGAAATGACCAGCCATTGTATAAACCTTCAAGCTGTGGTGGTGGAAGGCAGCCTCTGAATCCACAGAAACAAATCACTCCTGGTTTGGGACGCCCAGGGGATTCTCAGTGAGAAGGTGACATCAGAACAGGGCCCATGGATGCCGGCTCTACGCGGCCCACTAACAAACAACCGTCACCATGAGCCAGACAGAGCCAGTTAAATCCAGATGAAACTGGTGCGTGAGAAAACACGCGGTTCTTGACAGCACCTTCAGACAAAGCCTCGTCTGCACTGAATAGCGACTCGCGTGCCATAGAACAATAAAGCCCCCGTCTCCATTATACAAGGCCAGGAGGTTTTCCTATTACTACGTGGAGCTCGTTTTTTCATGTCATTTTAAGGGCCACAAAAATTCCCTTCTGCCTTCAGCCGCTATTTTTCCTTCCCTCTCTCTCGCTCGCTCGCTCTCTCTCCCACTCCATTTTCTTTGCGGCCTTGAACACAATCCAAACTTGCCTGGAACATCGAACGCCAGTACATATCAGCAAGGCAGAAAAACACAATGAGTACTAAATCCAGGAACTCGGAGGAACTGTACTAACAATGAAATACTCATTCAAGCGAAGTAACAACAAACACACAAAAGAGAAAACCTGCATTATAGCAAACCATTGTCAAAGGCCTTCAGTGATTTCATCTATAATCCCTTTTTTAATCACATTTACAATTCTTGGAAGTCCAGCTGACATCTGAATAGCTGGTGGATGACACGTCAACAGATGGACTACTATTCCGTCAAACACCAGATTCCAGCTTCCCTGGCATGCGATTAGTCAGGACAGCTGTTAACCCAACAACGGCTGTTTCACCATGGCGACCTGTGTCGGCACTCCCTGGCGCAGTCTTGAACGTGGACTCGGCGCCAGGTGCATGCTGGGAACAGATCTGTGGTAGGACACTGTAAATATCAAACTGAAGTGCCGCTTAATTAGCAGTGCAGATGTTTTTGTTATTACATTTGCCATTTATACTGGACAAAAGCTTCACAGAAACCGATGACTGTCTTGCAAAAAAATAAAATAAATAATGACATTTGACCTTGACAAATTTGTTCTAGCACTTCTGGTGATATTCACAGTTCACTTGTATTTGTTAACATTCTGATCTCTGTGTCACGTTCCTTCTGTCCAAAAAGCTGTGTTTGTGAATGTATCCTCTAAGATTCAACGTGTTTAAGCTATTCTTTGAAAACTGACTAAACTCAGCTACTGTCCCTTCCATAATCCAATCCAACAAACCCTCTCCAAACCTCACGGTACCTGGATGCACTCCTACTGGTATCTCAAAGGGATCTTAAAAGCACACCAGAGACCAGGACCACCAGGTGACGGCAATATGGCTTATGAAACTTCCATCCCCAAATATGACAATAAACATCGCTTTTGGTAATAAACACAAGTAATGGCACCCAAAGACCAAAAGCTACAGGTTCAGCCAAATCAACAAAATCCCAAAAGTCATTTAAACGGAAAGCACTGCTTGTCCAGCCATATGCTTAAAAATAATCCTTTAAGTTTCAACTGCACGGGGGGAAGAGGGTGCTGAATAACCTGATTTGTTCAGGGACTGCTGGCTCCCTACGAAACATGGCAATCCACTATTCCAGTTCATTTCCTCCAACCTTCTCCAGAAGGACAGTGCTCACTTTCTGGCCTGCACCCCAACACACACACAAGCACGTGCACACACACAAAACACTCATTATTAAACTTCACATGGAACATTTGAGGAAACAGAGTGCCAAAAGCTCATTTCAGATTTTTGAACCAGATAACTCTCAAGACACAACTACTTGTTACTGTAACTCAACCACTGGAATCGGATCATCATCAATCCTGCATAATTCAGGTAATATGGTGGGTCTGTTGGTTTTTTTATACAGGTATGGAGTTTGTATGTCCCACATCCATGGTGGTCACATTCAGCCAGATGACTGGGAGATTACCATGAAGGGTCACGACCCTCGACTGGATCTGGGTGACCCATGTCAGCATTAATGGGGAAGCCACAGCCTGGTTCCTTTCCCTCCAGAGTGGAAATAACCTGAATGCACGCCCGTAAATGGACGACAGCGGGACAGGAGTGTGACTGCTGATCACATATCACTTCTAGGAAGATGGTGCAGTGGCAGGGAATGCAAAGTGACACCTGGACCGCGGCACCGAGTCCAGTCCAACACCCGCCCGCATGCTGCAAACCGGCACCTCGTAGGCTTGATCCGACCTCATGCCCCCGGGGGTGCACAGGGAGAGGGGGCTAGGTGTGCTGTGCCACCCCTTTATAAGCGCTAATTTCTAGTAAATGGCGAACTGTCTTTGGAGAGGAGGAGGAGGGGGCGGGGGGCTACATCGCCTGCGACTCGTCATCTACCTCCAGCTTCGACTGTCCCCGCTAAACATTTCGCCTTTAAAACTAGGAGTTGGGGACCCTCTGGGTAAAAGTACCGCTCAGTCAAACACTAAAAAACAATAAGTGTCCGTATTTGGTATGGCTTTTCGCTAATGGACACAATGGCGGGCAATTTTGTTACGGCGAAGGGAGGAGGAGGAGGAGGAGGAGAAGGAGGGGGGAGAGAGGAAAAAAAAAGCTTCGGACCCGAAGCCGCCAAATGGAGTCGGTTCGGTGCAGTTTGCGGGTCCCGCCGCACCGGAGCCCCGGTGTAAGAAAAATACACACGGTCAGGGAAGTCGCGGAAAGCCTAACGGAGGTCTGACAATGTCCGCCTTTCGGAGACTGGGCGAAAAATGTCTCCCCGCATAAATAATAAACACGACGGCGGCGGCGCTAAGCCGTCAGGGGCTCCGCCGCCATTCCGCCGTCCGCGCTGTCGCCGGCGAGGAAAATAAATACAAATAAAGTCGTGTAGGTAAAATGCTTTGGGAGCGTAAAGAGATAAAAGAAAGCGCATTCCCCCCGTGGTGGCCGGGCGGCCCCATCCCCCACCTGCAGTCGCTCGCTCTCCCTCTCTCACCGTCCTCCATCTTTAATCTGCGCCACCTCTCCCTTCTCCGCGGCCCGGCGTCAAAGCCCCCATGCGCGGAAAGCAACTTACCTCCTCCGGCCATCGCCACTCCGTCCGGCGCCGTGCGAAAACCAAACGCTCTAGCGATATATTTTACACCGTCGAGGAATTTAATTTTTTTGTTTTGTTTTTGTTGTTGTTTTTTTTTTGGCTACGGAAAAAAATAATAAGACCGCGAGTAGAAACCGCGCCTTTCAGAAGAGCAGCAATCCTAAGCCGCCATCTGGTGGCATTTTCCACAATCGAATGGCGCAGCTGCAGACCGGAACCGCGGTGCCCTCTGGCGGACACGGAGCCACACTGCGGAGGCGCACCGAGGAGAGGGGGGCCGGGCGGGAAAGGGCTCCGAAAGACCCCGCCGACAGGGGACACGCATGTGCGTGCGTGCATGCGCGGGGGCAGGGGCGCGGGGGCGGGGACACGTGCGCTGGGGGAGCGTGAGCAGGCGGTCCTCGCGTGTCTGCGTTTTCCTTATTATTATTATTATTATTATTATTATTATTATTATCATTCATAAATGCAAGTGCTGCATGTTTCTTTTAAGGGAACGCAGCCACGCGGTCCTTACTTCTTTGTGCTTATTTTTATTATTATTATTATTATTTTAAATATTAATATTATTATAATAGTCGTTTTCTATCCATCGGTGCATGTTTCTTGGAGGAAGCGCGAAAACGAGCGTGCAGCCCTCAGCACCGTACCAAATGCGTTTCAAGGCAACTGTTGTTTCAGAGAAGCAATTAAAATAAATGTAGCGTGAACGCGATCAATAGTAGGCTAGCCGTGATGTTCGAGCTACACTGATACAGGAGTCTTTGAAAAACCATCTGTTTGCATTAAAACTATCGTTTTATTGCCTCTGCGACTGGCCAATGGTCTGTTACTTGCTATACGCTACAATAATGTAAAAAACATTTATCACAAACCTTGTGGCTAGGGGTAAGAAGCACAACCGTAACATTGTTTCTAGAAAAAATGTATTTAGAGATTAGTCCAAATTAAACACCTCAGAAATGCTTCCTGTTTTGTGTAAATGTGAAATTGTTTTATGATTTTTTTAGTTTGATTTTATTAAAATAGTAAAATGGTAAACATAAACGTTTTTTTTTCTTTTTTCTGTACAGATTGTTTTGTGGAAATAAACACAAATATTGTAAGACGTGTTACATTTAAGGCAATTGTGTGTGTTTTTGGTGCATCTGAGTCCAATGGACTATTTCTTGTAATATAAAGGCCTCTTGTGCACAGGTCCACCCACCAAAGAAAAATATTAGCGTATTTAATTTGCAAAGGGCCGCTTGGCTCATTCATGCAACCTGATTCATCGTAAAATTGTAATCTACGCACAATAGCAGCCAGAGGAGGTTGGACCGTAGTTGATCCCTGTTTAACATGACAACAGGAGCGATGAGTCATATGTTCCCAGCTAATGGGGCAAACTGGGCAGCATCTGCCAGCCTTGCCTTCCCACAATACCTGCAGCGGCCGTGTTTCACCGGTGCCGACGCATCTGTGGCGATATCGTGTCTTTGTTGATTTGGCTGGTTTAGCGGTGTGATTTTGCTGGATTAATTGGAAAACGAATCAGCTTGAGGTTTAAATACAGCAACTAATCCAGTCGAGTGATGTTTATATTTGCTTTAAACGTTCAGGAGCTGCTGTTGTCGTGAATCAGGTTAGTTGAGGCGTGTTCAGTTTACAGCTCAGACTTTGTTACTGTGTCACTATGCTGGTTAGCTGCAAGGGGCCCCATGCTCTATGGGACTTAAGGTGCTCCTGTCAATATTCTATGTATGATGATCAGTTTTTGATTATAATGCATAAGCAGCTGAGATTGTGCTTCAAAAGACATTATGTGGGTTAAACATCGGTGGCCTTACCATTGATTTATAATTCACAGCGGGCATTGTCGTAATATTGTGGGAAATTTGCCACACGTTGCCATGGCGGCACGTCTCCGTCCATCTTGTTCCCTGCCCCCGGCCACCCCTGGTGATTGCAAATGCAACATTTGCACAGCCCCTCCACCGCTCTGCTAATATTCTACTCGCAAACGCAGGCAGATTACATTTATCCACCTTATCGCCTATTACCCACCCCTTTGCTGCCCCGTGGCCGGAATATTGGCGTGTTTCCAGAACAGACAAACCCAGCTTTCACTGGATGCGTATTCAGTTTTGTGTATCTATTTTGTATATCATTCAGTTCAACGTTTTCCTTCCTGAGGTTAGTGTGTCATCTAACAAATAGAATTTAAGATATTACAATGTAGGTGATGAAGTACAGCCTTTTAGGAAAGCGAGGGCTTCTCTGATTGGAGCAGGTTAGAAAGAGATGGGGGTGGCCTGGCCCCATATGATATAGGAGGGAAGACTGGAGCTGGGCCTACAGACACCCCCCAAAGCCAGCTGTACCCAGCCCCCTTGTTCCCAGGGTAGAGCTGTCTTATACATCTAAATGAAAGGCTCACCTCTGCTTGGGGGGAAGTGTTAATTCTTATCCATTATTGCTTTTGTTAAATCCTTTTCATTTCATGCAAAAAACATCCTCTAATTTCAAGCACAAATCTATTACTGTTGAATCAAAGTGTGTGCGTAATTGTGACACTTTAAGGCTGTCGTGTTCACCAACAATGCTCGCACGGAGCTTCAGCGTGTCACCTGGTAACACCCACCCCCCGACACCCCCATTCACCAATCCTGCTCCCTCCGCAATCACCCTGGGAAGTTCTGAGGACTCCAGTTGTGAATTAGGAGATGTGTATGACCTGAGCTCACAGGGGGATACTCGCAAACTCTTAAAAAGTCATAAAAGATTCAGATTTTCTCAGACTGTGATGGAGATGGGGGGCATAGCCCCAACTCGTATATCAACCATTGGATGCAATTTTTTTGTCAAATGGTCAAACGGTGATGGAGACAGTGGTGTTTTTTTCCACATGCAAGCAACGTAACCACCAAACATCCCAGAGTAAACATTACAGAATGTAGTGTTGTGCCCCCCCCTCACCACCACTTTTCAGATCTTTTCCCAAGGCTGCTAGGTGACATATGTGGTATACAGATCTGGGGGGGGGTTGCGCCTTATTTTCTTCCAGGGACATTATTTCCCGTGTTTATCCTATTTCCACGGCAACTCCCTGAATCACATTCAGTGTTTCACCAAGGCTGTTTACAATAGTCAACTTTAAAAGATTTATTTTCCTATCTCTGTCAGCTGTACGGCACAGTGTGTGCGACGGCTTTGGGATGAGTCACTGTCGCATTCATGACTTCCACAGCCCGTATAAGATAAGTGAAAAAACGGAGATGAAGGGCAGGATCATATTTTTGCTTTTTAATTAATAAAACAAGAAGAGAAAGTCAGTATTACTTCACTGGAGCAAAAAAGTCACTTAAATGGAAATGTCCTCTGTAAATATGTAGTAGTGTAAATGTCTGAAGTGTAAAATCCACAAATAAAGCTTCTTCAGATAAGTCCCCCTTTACATGGATTGGCCTCTGTTTCTCGTCTAATGCAGGTGGGTAAATTGATCTTTGGACATGTACGCTTTAATCTCCTTGACAACTCGCACACTCAATACTCCTACTAATGTTGAGCAGGTGGTAACATTGTCCTTTACTGCAAATATAACGCTCCCCTTGGAGGGGGCCTTGTAGGAGGGGTGACAGTGGGAGTGGGCGTGCATATGGAGTGGGTGGTCTGATTGTTTACCATGGCTTCTCAAGCTAGCAAATGTAACAATGATGTCTCGCCGAAGCCTTGGAAGGTCTAGAGAGTCTCACTTGAAGCCTTGATGCCTTTCTGAAGCTACTGTAAATATGTAGAGACTTATCTAAAGCCTTAATGTCTGCCTGGATCTATTACAAATATGTAGAAACATAGCTGAAGCCTTCCTGATTGGCTGAAGTTACAGTAAATATGTAGAGACATAACTGAAGCCTTGATGATTGGTTGAAGTTACTGGAAATATATAAAGGCATAGCTGAAGCCTTGATGATTGGCTGAAGCTATGGTAAACATGTAGAGACATAGCTGAAGCCTTGATTGGCTGAAGCTACACTGAATATGTAGAGACATAGATGAAGCCTTGATGATTGACTGATGCTACAATGAATTTGTAGAGACAGCAGAAGCCTTGCCGATTGGCTGAAGCTACTGTAGTCCTATAGAGAAGTAGCTGAAGCTTTGAGTCTGTAGATTCTGTAGAGATGTGAAGCTGAGGCATGGCTGTCCCTGCTCATCAACAGTGATATCAGCCCTCATGCTGTGATATCAGCCCTCCTGTGCGATTAGCGTGAGTAAAATGGCAGCCAAGAAGCAGAAACGTAAATCTGAGGAATACATGCCCTCCTCTTCCATGCTTTGTAGAAGGTGTGGCTAGGGGGAGGGTAAGCAAATGCAGCCAACACAATAGAACTGAATATGATTACATTAGGGATAAATCAGTGTGTGTGGGGGGTGGGGGGAGATGAGGGGCTGTGGATATCTCTGGCTCAGTGTATCTCGTACTGCTGCGATAAATCCATAGCCTCGCTGACCTTTAGCTTTGACAAGACCAGTCTGGCTTCAGCAGCATGACTCTGCTCGGCCAGTAATCACTCAGACACGTCTTGTGTTCGAGGGCGGCGAGGCAGCCACGTCCTCAACTTCATCCCACGCTTCCCGACACGTTATAAACCAAGGGCTCCCGAAAGAGCGTGGCGCCTGCTTGAACCGATTCGCTTTTTGGCAGTTTCCATGGCAACCTGACATTCCGCGAAAGGTGAGGATTCCAGCAGTGGTCTCCATTTTGAAAAGCCCCCTTCGGTCCTGTTATTTATGTTTAAAGCTCTCCTCGCTCGCTTGTTGAGGTGTTACAGGCTGGCTGTGCGCTGTGTCACCGATACGCTTGGGTGTGTTATTCTTGTCGCGCTCTCTGTGAGGGAAGCCACACAGGCTTCCCGCGGGTGTCATGTGACAGCCGGTCCGTGACCGCTGCCTTCCTACAGAGTTTCTGTCTGCTGGATCTCCCATCTTTTTTGCAGACCTTGCGTCTGCTGGTGTGAGAATATCACTATGTGCTGCAGTGTCGCACCGGGTGTTTCCCAGCGCCTCTCTGGGTCTCTGTCAGTCTCCCCCCAGCTGCAGTTTATTGAACTAGTCACTCTATAGCACTCATAGTATGTGCCTTGTGATGGACTGGAAACCCATCTCAGTCATCCCTTGCCCCATTCCCTGCGTTTCCTAGGATAGTATCCAGGCTCCCTTCATCCCTGTACAGATGCGGTTCCCAAACCCGACCAGCCCACTGTTTTGGAACGCTGGGGGTTTTGCAGAGGCTGTACATTCAAAATGCA